TTTTGCTACTTTAGAATTAAGGATGGGGCACAAAGCCTCAGTCGTTATCTCAGGCAGCCAGAAAGCCTCAAGACTCAGATATAGGTGTTTTTCAAATCCTGTATCTATTCACTATACCACACTGCTTGAATCCTTCACTATTCTCTTTATTTTGGGTGGTTTTGCTTCTATAAAGATATAATTAGAGATATGTATGACTTAGGCTACAAGACTAAGAACTTTAGGCAGCTTCTAACTCTCCTTGGATGTCCCTGTTAGTTTGGGGTCATTAAAAATTATGTCTGGCTTAAAGTTTGGATTATTTGGATTATTTTCTTGAAGTTACTAATACAGATCTCTTCGTGGTATATCAGAGTCTATATTGTCCTGGTTCGTATTTTCCAAAACTTCAGTAAAAGGAAATAACGTAAATGGTCTACTCTTGCACACAGCTCCTCTCTCCCCATTTTACGGCTCACATTTTATGCAGGGCTGTCAGGCTTTCTGAATTAAATGTGACTTAGGGCCTATGCTTGCTAACTGAGGAGGCTCATAGGTCCTATAGCTCATCCACAATCTTGTACAGGAGCTGTCAAGTATGAGAGATTGGTGCCAAATTCAACCCAACGCAGCCCCTTCCCAGTAGTCTGCCTTCGACAACTCCTCCTTGTCAAATCCAACAGCTTACCTAGAATATATAGTGAATAAAGTACCCTGAAAGGTATGAATGTAGAGGTGCTGCTTTGGCTGATGGCAGGAACACCTATCAGCTTCCCACAGGGCTGACATTTCAGGCTGGCAGGGGGGAGATGATCATAGGATTTTTGTGCTGCTGTTTCTAAATGGATTGTAAAGACTCCCAAGGCAGACTGCCTCCCTTCTTACCATCTGCCTCCATGAAGAATCAGTGTGATGCAACTATGCAACTCAGAAAACTTCTTTTTTTGTTGTTTGTTTGTTTCTTTATTTATAAAGTAGAGCCCTCAGGTGAATGGTTTATAGAACTCAACAGAATTCCCTAGTACGAGGTCTTAGTGCATTAAAATTTAATACTTTGGGTGTCAGAAACTCCATGCCCTTCTCCTCACTGCCTAGCAAACATCTGGCCTTAGAGTCATTGAATGTTAAGTCGGGAAAGTAGCAGTCAGCAGTGTTTACGGGTTTTGAGAGGTCTCCCTAGTAACTAGGGATCAGAGCTTGTGCAATTATCTTTTGATTGTTAACCTCCTAGCTAAATACAGAATAGATATGCCAAGTCACTTCCTGACTGGTAACATCCAAGAAGTAGCCTCTTTGTGTTTTAATATAGTGAAAGGGAGACTGTATCGGTCAGAAGACTGATTGGACAGCCCAGGAAATAGGAAAAAAATATACAAAGATAAACATTGACTGCACCTATCCAAGCACCCACAGTGGTGAGGGTCCTGTGTCATCAGACTTGGCCTTCCCAGTCCCAGTGGCACACTCATTCCAAGTGTAAAGGTGAATTGGATGTGGGGTGCTGTGGCCAACGGACTGTGAGGTTTTTAGTTTCAGGGAAGAGATGATCTTCACCTTGAAATGAATAATGGATGTGTCAGATTATCTTAGTCTTATCCCATTTAATATTTGATTCCTATAACTCTCTTTGGTTTAAACCCACACCCATCAAACATGCTGTTTTGCCACACACAACACACGGCACCGTGCAGAACACTGGGACGTGGAGTGACTCTGGGATCTTTAGCAGTGATGCCGTAGGGAGAACCAGCAGCAGCTTCTCTTATGACTTAGCTTCCAGGGCAGCTTGACCACGGCAGGAGAATGGACTAATCTCTGGGATTTGGACAACCAGGCCATGGGTCAGTTACAAGTCTGTTTCCATGCATTTCCTGCCATTCTCATTTCCACTTCAGTCTCACTTATGTTTAGGTTCTTCTGAATCTGCCTCTCAGGGCCTAAGATCTCTTGTGCCCTCAAAGAGGCAGTTTCTCAGCCTTCAAAATAGAAGGACTCGTCTATCTGACATTAATTCAGCAAGGATCTCTCCACCTTGTTTAAACCACAGAGCCTTTCAATGTACGTAAATATCTCATGACCTACCTCCATCCTATCAACATGCCCAAGACAATATCAGTGCATCTTACAGATGTCCCCACCTATTAAGAAGATTCTACACCATGTAGTATCACATAAAAATATAAAGTTTTGTCCAATATAATACAGATTCAATATCTATATAAATATACATTTGCCTTTAATACAGTAATTCTGGTAAAACCTACCTCTCTCCAATCTCATTTGAGAGTCACTGAACCCTGCCCCCAGAACTCCCAACGCTACCCTATATAATGCCCCATAAGAGGTACAGACAAATATCTTCCAGTTTCAGTGGACCTTGATACTTGTGATAGGGTTGGCTTAGAATAGGTGAGGACAGAACGAGACCTGAATGAAGACAGATGGTGGTTATCTGAAAAAGTAACAGGGCTGGATGTGGTGGCTCACCCTGTAATCCCAGGACTTTGGGAGGCCAAGGTGGGCAGATAATGAGGTCAAGAGTTTGAGACCAGCTTGGCTGATATGGTGAAATCCCATCTGTACTAAAAAATACAAAAATCAGCCAGGCGTGGTAGCGCATGCCTGTAGTTCCAGCTACTCAGGAGGCTGAGGCAGGAGAATCGCTTGAACCTGGGAGGCAGAGGTTGCAGTGAGCTGAGATTGCACCACTGCACTCCAGCCTGGGTGACAGGTAAGATTCCGTCTCAAAAAAAAAAAAAAAAAGTAACAATGTTACCTAATTACTAAGCATCCATAATGGTTACACTGGTGATAGTAGTGTGAGTGTGTGCGTACGTTCGTGTACACAGCTATGCATACAAATACAAAGATAAATAAACCACAATTTTTGTTTTCAAATTAAGTAGCAGAAACATGAAAACAAATGCCTCCAATTGCTCATAGGTAACAGTGTTAAGGCCAGTTGTACAATTTCACTTGAGTCCCTGAGTCCCATTACAGGTTAAAGTCACTTAGCAGGCAGACTTCACTGTAAAGCCAACTCTGTTGTGGTCAGGTGGGGAATCCTTGATGCAGGAGAGGCTCGACCAGTAAATATCTTTCCCCTTCATCCACCCTCCTTCATAACAGCAGTTTCACTAATAAATCCCCCAGTCCTAAGGCTTCTCTTCTGAGTAAAAGGATAGTTAGAAAACTATTCTAAATGGTTTTTACAACTTATACTTAAATTTAGAAACTGAACAGGATAATTCTTAGACTTTGTCATTTTTCCTTCAGCATGTTCTGCTCATATACATAGTCCTATACCTCTGAGAATATAACATTTAAATGTCCTTTTCCCCTAAAAATTATCTACTAATGAATATCAAATATTAGTTGCTAAATGGATAACCGCTACAATAACCACAATCCACTCTGCTTCTACTCAGAGAAGCATTACCAAATGAGAAGAAAATTTGAGAAAACAATGAAAGAATTGATAATGGTTCAACAAAGATCTGACCCAAAACCAGGAGCTCAGTTATCTGAATCTTTAGGATTGACAGATTACTGAAATAATTTACACATGGGAAATGCTTAATGGTTTAGAATATACTTTTTTTAAGGGCTTCACATACAGAAAAGTATATGACCTTCAACAAATCTTATAAAGTTTGAGGAAACTGCAGATCAGACAGGGTGAATCAGCTGCCCAAATCTGGAGAGTAGGTGTGTGTGTGTGTGTTTATGTGTTTATGCAGGCAGTCAACTCATGGGTTTTGGACTTTTCCCTCCTGAGCTCATGGTTTTTTCTATTAATTAGAGTTCCTAAAGCCAAGATCCACAGTATGCAAAGCTGCTTTTTAACATTAGAAAAAAGAAGTAAAAAGAAACTTGTATGGAATGCTACATAGTCAATTGTCTAATAGGTTTTGTTTACGGACTTGAGTTGCTCAGACTGTGAAACCTAAAACATAACACAGTGAATTTTCTCTAGAGTGGCAAATCTAAATGAACAATTCACAAATGCCATTAAAAGTACTGTTTAAGAAATACATTTCAAATTAAAATGAATCAAAAGATAGGAAAATCCAAAATTAATATAAATTCCATGGACAGCATATATAAGGAAAATATTGATATTTTAAGAGCTCACCCTTTATTATCAAGACTGAAGTATACATTCCATTGAAGAGCAAAAAAATCTAAATTCGTGTGATTTATGTGTTACATATTTATATGTAGAAACCATACAGCATTCTGAGTGCTAAATCTATTAAGTGAAAGTTTGTAGGGAGACAGGATAATCGTAGGCTCAAGTTATCACCCCACATATGATTATAAAAATAAAAGGAGACCTTTAAAATAGACAGATTTTGTTGACATTACCTTACTACATTGATCAAACAGAGCACACTGATATCATATGCCTATTGATGTATTATAATGTGAAGGACATACTACCAAAAAAGTTTAATGTGAATCTAAGAATGAGAAAGTCATAGATGAAACAAATCCAGAATAAGGGTCATTCTGTAAAACAACTGATATATACCCTTCAAAAAAAGTCAAGGTTATAAAAAAGAAAAAGAAAGTCAAAGAAGTCTCTCATTTAAGTGAAAACTAAATAGAAAAGATAACAGAAGGCAAGTTTGGTCTTTGATTCCTGGATCAAAAATAAACCAGTTATGAAGGCAATTATGGGGGAAATTGGAATAATTAGAATAAGGACTACATATATTAAATATTATATTAGTGCTAAATGTCTTGGGTGTAATAATAGTGTTATAGTTATTTGGAGATTGTCTTTTTCGTAGGAAAAACATGCTGGACTATTAAGGAGTGACGTGTCATGATATGTGCCATTTATTCTCAGATGTTTCTGAGAAAAAGAAAACAGAGAGAAGAAAAGCAAATACGAAAAATGTTAATGACTGGTGGGTCTAAGCGAAGGGCATAGTAAAATTTGTACTGTTTTTCAGCTTTCCCTAGGTTTGGAACTTTTGAAAACAAAGTGTTAGGAAAAATAAAACCAAACAAAGTCATTCTCTAAATTTTTTATTTCATATTTCCGTTTCAGCAGTATTGAAATGTTTCTCATATATGTGATTATTTTATAGATTCAAAAGTGCGGCGTTGAGTGAATGTCACAAATCATAACATGATTAAAATGTATAAGAAAGTACTTTAAAAACCAGACAAAAGACGTAAGAATTATGATGTTAAATTTCTAATCCAAATGTAAATCAAGAGTACAGGATACTAGCAATGCTAATATTCAAAATGGGTTTACCCCAGTTCATAATTCCTCTGCTTCTCTCTTACCTAAAACCTAAGGAAGTATTGGAAGTAGAGAATTCTTAAGAAACCAACTGGACGATGAGTTGTATGATTCTCTTTACAGATACAATCTACTTTTCAGCAACCTGTAAGCCATGGAAAGAGTAACTGCATATCCAACAAGAAAGCCCAAAGCTCTGTTTGGCTGGGGAAGGGGTGTCAGATACGCAATGGTGTGGTAGATCCGTGCTCCGACAAAGACTCTGAAGTGCAGGATGGCTGTGGAGGGGTCAGGACCACTCAGGGAATACAGAAGGCCAATTCCAAGAAATGGAACAATATTTTCAAGGTCATTCAGGTGGGCTCTGTAAAAAAAGATAGCTATTAAAAACACTAATTTCAAATTAGTAGATACGTATTCTTTTTTCCCTCTCCTCTAAAAACTAAATCTGAGTACTAATGAATCCTTAAATTTCAAAGTAAGATTTCTTTTTTCTCTCAGATTGCCTTGCTTCCTTATCCACTTGACTTTTATTAAGAATGTCTCATTATTTTTGTTTCTTTTTACTTTTAGTGTATCTTTTAATATCACAGAAGGCATTTTGTAGTTCCTAGAATATCAAAACAACATCTATCTAATAGAACTCATTTCATTTTTGTAAACACAAAATACTTTTTTCTTATGAGGTTCATAACGATTAGCAATTCAAGACTCTTTTTATAAAAATTCTTTTTCCCAAAGGAAGAAAATCCTTTTGGTGTTGATTTTTCTTAAGACTCCTCCTTCACTTCTGCTACTCTACCAAATGATTATTGAGAGAATCCCTGCCAACCCAAACCACTAGGTTGCCAATAATTAATTACCAACTTAATATCAAGAATCTCACGTTCTTACATCTAAATAACAGAACACATAACTAGCCTTTGAAATACAGCAAAATTTTGGCTAATATCGTCCAAATGCCAAAGAAATTAGTTAGGAATGATGGTGTGAAAGTACAAAGGGCACACGAAACGTGGGACAGGTGAAAGAGAAAGAGAGAATTTCCTAAATGTTTTCTTTATAACAGAGCTAGAGGAAAACAAAAAGTATGTTTTAGCCACAGTTTTGCTCCGACTATGGCATCGTGGGTTTTTCTGGCTAAGACCGAATACAGAACACATCTACTATTGACTTGACATTTTCACTAGTGTTGCTGTTGCTGCTCCTGTTGCTTTTAGAGGTGGGGTCTTGCTCTGCTGCTCAGGCTGAAGTGCAGTGGCGCAGTCACAATTCACTGCAGCCTCAAACTCGTGAGTTTCAGCCTCATGAGTAGCAGAGACTACAGGCATCAGCACCATGCCTGGCCAATTTTTTAAATTTTCTTTTTAGAGGTGGGGTCTTGCTATGTTGTCCAGGTTGGTCTTGAACACCTGGTCTCAAGCAGTCCTCAAACCTCAGCTTCCCAAAACACTGGAATTACAGGTGCAAGCCACCCTGACCGGCAACATTTTAAAAAATACTAATTTTAAAATTTCATCTCTCTTCAGCCTACAGAATTAGAAATCGCTTTAGAATCTAGGCTAGAAATGGAGAGTTTGATAGTGTTTGTCAGCTATCGATATGTATTTCAAAATGAAAAAATATTTGATGTTACTCTCTTCTCTAGCATAAGCATATAATCATTACATATTGCCTGCTCAATGATCCCCACTCCATTCCCTTCCTTTCTTTTCTCCTGTCTTCCCTAGATTATTCCTACGTTTGCCTCACAAAGACGACAACTACACAGAGATAGGAAGAAGACAGCAGCAGCCTAGAGAAGCGATGAGTTGAAAAGGCTTCAATAAAGGATGAAAGCAAAGAGAGAAAGGTGTGAGTGTTCTTGTGCCCTGTCTTTCACGGAGCAATACAAGCACTACGGAGAATGAGATGGGAAAGAAAAGACAGGAATGCCATTTTCTATCAAAGAAGGGCCCGCTTTGTCAATTACACCAAGCGTATTTATTTTGACGCTGACTTCTGCAGCACCACTGAGACACCTTCACCTCCAATCTTACGCATGTTAGTGTCCCCCTTCATAACATGCTAAAAAGACAGAAATTCTAAGGTTAAGGAAGAGACTTTAAAGAGAAGACTCTCTGGAAAACAATGTCCACTTCTATCCCTGTGTTGAGCAGTTGACCGTTGGAGCAATGTTAAAGCAGAGGAGAAAGTCAAGGACAGCAAGAGGGCCCCAAGGGCAGAGGGAAGGAGGGGCAGGGGCAGGGCTTTCTTCACCTTTCTAGCTCCTGCATGTTTTTCTAGCCTCATTTCTATCCTATTTTTCCTTTTGAATTCTCTTACTCTTTCATCAGCCCTCAACATTTCTCAAAGATAACACTCCTCATTATCCCAGCAAGGCCTGCTTTCCACAGACCCTTATACTCTATACCAGTGTATGCCATTTTCTATACTTCTTTGAGACTCTGTTCCAGGCACACACCTCTCCAGCTCTCCCTGTGAGCACCTGCTGCACTGCAATATCACCCTTCCATCCTAACCCACCCCCTGCTCCAACGACAGCCTCCTTCCTGGAGCGGCATCTTCCGGAACGTTAGTGCCATTTACGGACAGCTGCCAAAATCTATCACCAGGTGGAAATCAGCCTTCCTGAGAGACCGCTTTCTACCTGGGTCTATTACCCTTCTCCCGCGTGATTACATTTGCCCGTTTTCCTTTCTCTTTTGGACAGATGCTCCCTGGTACACATCTGCTCTGTGACAGACCTTCCCACCATCTCTGTGCTCCTGAGGCCACAGCCGTGTCTCCTTCCTCAGATCAGAATTGCTCGGATCCCAGCATCCACCTGTCCTGGACTAGAGTTGCTACACGCACCTGGGCATTGTCAGGCTGTGAAGAACTACAAAAGGAGCTGCTCAGAAGGCTTCTCCAGACTCCCCCATCTCAGCCAAAGCTCTTCACCCTCAGTACACAGCTGTGTGTTCACATTCTCATCAAGGTATTTTCCCAAATTGACGAGACTTCTCTCCTCTTTCTCCTCCAAAATCCTAATATTCTTCAAGGTCTTCCTTTATGGAATATTCCATGGAACTAATGAAACATGGCTTCATAACACTCTCCAATTATTACATGCACAGGGGTCTTATTTGGGGGGAACATTATAAACCGCTGAGGGTCAGGAACCCAGTCTTAAGGCTCTTTGATAGCATCCCAATAGAATAAACGACAGTGATACATACACAATAATCTCTCCATATAGGTGTGTTCATACACTGGGTCACAGAGGACATCATCCAGTTTAACCCCAGCCTATGGTCGTCTCCTGACAGAGTCCCCAGCAAGTGTCACTTAGACTTCATGGAACACTCTCAGTGAAGGCGTATTCTCTACCTTTAAAGGAAATATATTCTGAATGTCTCCCCTCTTTCTAAACATGAAACACAAGCCTTTATTTTGTCTTTCGAATGACTCCTGTATGTCACCAGCTGGCCTGTTTGCCTTTCAACTTTCTTTTTATCTTTGTGTATTGAATGTGTATGGTCTTGAATGCTTCCTAGACAAGGTAGGATAGCATTAAATAAATACATATGTAAAATACTTTCTATCACTGGTTTCTGTCTGTCCAGAACTCAAATAACTGACTTTAAGCCACATATCTTGATATTTCAACACATATTCCTTTAAGTTTGTAACTAATTGTTCCATATGTGTATGTATTTATTTTCTGAATTATTGCACGCGGTAAAGCATACCTTTCACTTCATCTGTAGCCCCATTCTGTCCCTGCCATTTAAATATGCTAATCATAACAGTTTTACAATTACTAAAGGAACTAGAGAGGTTGGGGGGGGGAGCCTAGCTTAAAAATGGAAAAGAAAGATTCTGGAAACTCTCTTTGAAAAGCATCTCCAAAAGTGTGTTGTTAGGTACTGCTGCGATGGAACAAGCGCGATCTCAAAAAGTATGATACGACTGAAAACTCCACTGTGTTGGAGACGCTCCTCTTACGATGAGGAAAAGCCAGTGTCTCATCACCAGGGGGCGCTGTGCACGCAGTCGCTGCACCTCCTCAAGGGCACGGCCCCTTTTCAGAACCAGGGTCAATTGTTCTCCCTAACATTTATTTGCAACCTGACTAGCTGATCAATTTGGATAATGTCTTCTCCTCTAAAAGTACAATCCCCCATGGGCAGGGAGTAAGGGTGGAAGGTCAGAAAGAATAATAGAGAGGAATCTCTAAAACCCCCCAAAATATCTTTTGTTATGCTTTCACACATGAGATTGACTTGGTTTTTCATTTCAATCTTACTAATGCTACTTGAGGGTCTAATTGCTTCTGATCACTTTCCAGTCCTGGGCAATTTTATAAATACAAGGTCATGACTAACATCATGCATGTGGCTGCCTGCTCTAAAAGGGAAGCGCTAGAGGACCAGACAAGGCTTTAAATGGTTTTGTGTCTCTTTAGTGGTTTTGAAAACTTCAAGCTTCACTCACTTTTTTTTCAGTTTATTATTTTTCATCTAACACATGACTTTTCCTTTGATATTGTTCTGCTATTGTTTGAAATTTCTACAGTGATTCCTTGTCCGAAACTATTATATATCCATATTCTTCACACAACCCATTTTCAAAACTGGCCGATTTACTCAGCAGGACTGCTGAATCAACAGCTTTATAACTAAGGGAGACAGAAGGTGAAATTTTGTGCTAAGTACCTGCACAGACTTTTTCTTAGAAGAGAAACATTCTTGCTTGATGACTAGTTTGGGGGTAGAATTGTTTTGCATGAGTAAGAAGGTACCTTTAATATTAGTGCTGATAGGGTTGAAGAGTCTGTGGGGCAAGAGGAGAGCCTCAAAAATGGTGTAACACTGGATACTGCTTGAGTGAAGGAGGTATAGGTATGGGGCATATTCCCCGGAGAGAGAAGGCTGAAGGACATGGTCAGACAGAGTAATAACATACAACTCGAAATGTTTGTGTAGCCACAGTGTAAACGCCTCTGCACCTCCACTTACTCAAGTCTATTTTTAGCCACTGTTTTTGTGTGTGTGAAGGGAACTGATGAAAGGGCTGGATTAACATCCAGCATCACCAACTGCAAAATACGGAAACGTGCATAGAAGCAGGAACCCAGATCCAGAGTTAAGCTGGAGATGATATGCCGATAGGGAATCTGCAGAAATCTTGGGAGGGGCTTCAGACTTTCACAGAGGATCAAAAAAGGGATAATGCAACCTAGGTATCCATCAATGTGAATTGGATAAAGATGGCCGGGCACGGTGGTTCATGCCTATAATCCCAGCATTTTGGGAGGACAAGGTGGGTGGATTACCTGAGGTCAGGAGTTCGAAACCAGCCTGGCCAAGATGGAGAAGCCCTGTCTCTACTAAATACAAAAAATTAGCCAGGTGTGGTGGCGCATGCTTGTAGTCCCAGCTACTCGGGAGACTGAGGCAGGAGAATGGCTTGAACCCAGGAGGCAGAGGTTGCAGTGAGCTGAGATTGTGCCATTGCACTCCAGCCTGGGTGACAGAGCAAGACTCTATCTTAAGAAAAAAATAGAATGAAATCAAGTCCTTTTCAGCAACATGGACACAGGTGTAGGCCCTTACCCTAAATGAATTAACACAGGAAAAGAAAAACAAATACCACATGTTCTCACTTATAAGTGGGAGCTAAACACTGGATACATAAACACAGATAGCACAACATGCAATAGGGACTATTAGAGGGCGAAGAAAAAGGGAGACAAAGGTTGAAAAGCTAACGGGTACTATGCTCACTACTTGAGTGACAGGAAAAATAGTGCCCCAACCATACCTTGGCTTATTGCTTTTCATTGTTCATTGAATCCCCAATACATTAAAACATAACATCTAAAAAGAGATGGCAGTGGCGAAAGGGACAGAGAAAAAGAGGTTCCGATTTCTCCAGAGTGTCAACATTCTCATTGTGAATCTTAGGCAAAAATACTTAATTCTTCAACCTTTTACATGAGTTGGCAGTCTCACCTATGGAGAAAGATGACAAAACTGCAAGCATCGACTATTCCCATTTTACTCCTCCCTGCCATTACTGTGGATACATCTCTATATAAAGCCATGTCGTTAACCCCAAGAGAGTGTCGATAAAAGTACAGTATAGCAACACTGGCAATGGATGCGATTGCAGGGATAGTTGGAGACTTTCAGATGTCCAGTTTTCTGTAATTGTTATGAGGAGTAGGAAAGAGGTCTGACTTTTTATCCGCATTCTCCAAGACCCTGAGACATCTTCACTGAACTCCTTGATCAAAATTATTTGATCAAATAAGTAATTTCAAGAGACATTGGTTTACCTGCGTACACGTTCGACTCTGTCATCTGTTCGAAGATACTTCTTGGCGTTTTCTCCTTTGCCAAGTGTTGCACAGTCTTCTGGGTTGGCAAAAACCTTTTCCAAATACCAAGAAAATAAAAAACTTATTTCAAATACTGGCTGGGTGTGGTGGCTTACACCTGTAATTCCAGCACTTTGAGAGGCTGAGGCAGGAGGATTGCTTCAGCCCAAACACTCAAGACCACCCTGTCTCCACAGATTTAAAAAATATATATATATATATAGCTGGGCATGGTGGTGTGTCACGTGCCTGTGGTACTAGCTACTCAGAAGGATCAGGTGGGAGGATCACTTGAGCCCAGGAGTTTGAGGATGCAGTGAGCTGGGATTGCACCACTACACTCTAGCCTGTCTTAAAAAAACAAACAAACAAACAAATAACATGGGGATATTCTACTTAATAAATTATTTGAATTTTAGTGGAAGAAATACAGACATCCAGGTTGACCCATTTGGAGCATTAAATCAAACATAAGAGTAGAAGAAAGCATCTATTGTTCAAACTGAATTTTTATTAACAACGCAAAGTTGTAAAAAAGAAAAGCATAAATAAGAACTTGAACAAAAACCAGTGCATAAGAATAGTGAAAAGGAAGCAAATATGGGCAAAGACGTAATTCTAAGTCACCATGGACTATTACTATGGTTCACTGGCATCTCTTTCACAGTAATGTTGACATACCTTCCCTCAAGTGTATTAACATTTCGAAGTGATTGGCTCAACTGAAATAAATACATTTACCAGCCAAAGGTTTCAGAGAACAGACAAGAAGCATAAAAGAGTAAGGGATGGGAAGGGTGTCTTATAGTTTGTTAGAACATGTGCACCTCTTTTCTTTTTCTAAACTAGATAAAACTTTGGGCTGAAGAATATTGTATCATGAAATTTGAGAAGCTGAATTATAGTCCTAGGAGTAACAAGTACACATTCATGTATTCCTTCCTGCAATTATTATGCTGTTTGAAATAATTTCCCCATCCCTTGAAACTTGAAATCTACATTTAAGAAACATTTAAGTATGTGCCACTATTTAATAATTTATGGCAGAGAAAAACACAAACTGCAAAATTCATCTTAATTTAAGCTTAAAAATCTTGTAAGTTTTCTATTTTTTTCTTAATATGATATGAACATTTATTAGAGATGAAGATGTTGAGGAGAACTGATATGCAGGGCTGGGAATATTTATTCCAGATAAAGTTCTTAAGGTCAGGCCTGTCTGTCTTGCTCATCATAGTGTTCCCCTAAATAAGTGCCTGGCACATACTGGATGTGCAATAAATATATGTTGAATAAAGAAATAAATGGTTTATTACAATGGAAAGAGCATGAGACTGGGTTTAACGCAATTTCAGTTTGAATCCCAGTTTCACCCTTTATTTGTATGTAACCTTGGGCAAGCTATTGCTATGCACTGAATGTTTGTGGTCCCCCAAAATTTGTCTGTTAAAGCCTAATCTTCAATCTGACAGTCTCTGGGACCTGAGGCCTTTGAAAGGTAATTAGGTCAGAGAGTGGAGTCCTCGTGAATGGGATTAGGGTCCTTACAAGAAGAGGAAAGAGAGAGCTCTCTTCCTGCTCTGTCTCTCTCTCTCTCTCTCTCTGCTCTGCCAGTGTGAGGATACAATGGGAAGACGGCCATCTGCAGGTCAGGGACGGGGCCCTCACTGAACACCAGATCTGCTGGTATCTTGGTTTTGGATTTACCAAACTCCAGAACTGTGAGACAAATGTTTGTTGCTTAAGCCGTCTAGTCTATGGCGTTTTGTAAGGGCAGCGGAAACGGACTCAGACAGCAACTTAACCTCTCTTTCACTTCCCCTTTTATATAAAATGGAAGGATGAATCCTCGTTTCACCTGACAATGCTAACAACTGTGTAAAACGACTCCACGATCAAGCACACACAGAAAGTATTGTGGCTCCTGGCACTCTACAAATTTGAGTTCCCTTCTTCTTTTCTTATAAGGCAGGGTCCATTTCCTTGCTAACATTCTGTTTCTAAAGTCAGCGTGGATCTAGGGGGTAAACAGCCACTTTGTGGCCTGATGCTTGCAACAGATCAGCACATGAGAGACTTAACCATGTGAGGATGTGCCCTCCATTAAAATGCAAATATCCTTCCATTCTACCTCAAGGTAGTTGGCCAGGCTCATGCCTGTAATCCCAGTACTTGAGGAGGCCGAGGTAGATGGATCATCTGAGGTCAGGAGTTCAAGACCAGCTTGGTCAATGTGGCAAAACTCCATTTCTACTGAAAATACAAAAATTAGCTGGGTCTGGTGGTGTATGCCTATAATCTCAGCTCTTTGGGAGGCTGAGGCAAGAGAATTCCTTGAACTAGGGAGGCGGAGGTTGCAGTGAGCCAAGATCCTGCCACTGCAGTCCCGCCTGGGTAAGGGTAAGAGCGAAACTCTGTCTTGAAAAAAAAAAAAAAAAAAAAAAAAAAAGACACTAACAAGGAAACACCTTAGGGAAGACTGTGGCCTCTACATAAAATCAGTGCTCTAGAGGACAAAACTCAGGACAGGTCCTAAAAGAGAAGCCGATGATCTCAAGGATGAAGTTGCTGAATGGGCACAAGGACTACACTGGTGAAAATATTTTAAGTTTGTAAAGGGAGCCTTGCTCTGACCCCTTCCAGCAGGCCTAAACCCCGCCTGAATACAGAATGTATGCTTCAGAATCTGTCTACCACCTTCCCCACATCTGCTCTTTAAAAAAAAGTCATTCTGATAATACTGGGTAGAAATAGTATCCATGAAAGAAGTCAGAAGTACCCAAAATTCAAATGATCATCCCAATCAGATGAGGGTCTACTTTGAAAGTAAGAACTTTAATTCTCAGCCTTTTTTCTTTTTCTTTCTTTCTTTTATTTTTTTAATCAAAATCATACCCTTGATCTGTACCAGAGCTGAAAATACCAGTTAACTGTAAAACAATTATTTTCTAAACCCACTTTGGCAAAATTAATTCCAAAATGAAAGTTTCCTTGAAAACTTTTGATATTCCGGAATATCTCATCTGCTTAGCAGAATGACAAAAGGTAAAAGCCATAATGAAAAAACCATTTACTAGTTTCTAGGAGAAGCGACTGTTCCATAAATATATCAGATCCATCTGTGCCAAACGGTTGCATACTTCACTTACAGCATAAAACAGTGTGCTATTGGGCTTTACCAAAAATAAAAAAAGAAAATTAAGAAAACTCCTTTCCAGAGTTCAACTCTTAAAAGTGAGAAAATATTACCTCCAAATTTCTTACCTTTCTTGTCATTCTATAGAACGCAGTTGTAGCACTCATAAGCATCATTTTTGAAATAATAATTGTTGCATAGGAGGCAAAAGCCCTGAATACTTCATCATCCATTAGGTCGGTAAGGTCAACCATTGTTTCAATTTTGGTCTAGAATCTTAAAAAGATTTTAAAAAGATAAGAAAAAGCAGACATAAATACACAAAATAACTGGAAGATCATTTGATGTTCTTATATTGCAGCATTAACTATACTGTTCTTAAAAATATCTTGGACTATTTGGAGAATAAATGATTATTTAGTTATTAAAATGTCAAAGTAAATAGGGGCTGAGTGCAGTGGTGCAAGCCTATAATCCCAGCACTTTGGGAGGCCGAGGCAGGTGGATCACTTGAGGTCAGGAGTTCGAGAGCAGCCTGGCCAACATGGTGAAACCCCATCTCTACTAAACACAAAAATTAGCTGGCTGTGGTGGTGTGTGCCTGTAATCCCAACTACTCAGGAGACTGAGGCAGGAGAATTGCATGAACTTGGGAGGCAGAGGTTGCACTGAGCAGAGATATTGCCACTGCACTGCAGCCTGGGCAATAGAGCAAGACTCCATCTCAAAAGAAAAAAAAGTAAACATCATTATATTTTATCTAGTTTTATATTATTAAGCTTGAGGACATCAAAGAAGTACTAATTGAAAAAAGGGTACAGTACAAGCAAAAATAAAGAGCAAAAATTCTCTAAACAAAGACTAAAATCACATACTTGCATTGAGGTGAACTATATACAGGTTGAAATCAAAAGGCCAGAGATCATAGACTGATCTCTTTGGAAACATCAAACTATGTACCTAGTAGCAACACTGATGTTTTATTAGGAAGGCCTAAGTTCTTACGTATCCTCCTTTGGAGACCCAACTTACAACTTTTTGTCATTTCAGTAGTATTCAAAATCGTAGACTTCTGGACATGAATTCCAGTCCCAGCATTTAGCTATTAACTTTGCTTGAGAGGTTTAGTCTCTGAGACTAAATTTCTTCATTCTTAAAATAGAAATAGTAATAGCTTCTAACTTAATGGGTTGTTGTCGAATGTAATTGAGATAAAACATGAACTGGTCCAAGAAAATCCCTCAATAAAGTTTATGATGTCTTTATCATGATCATCATCATGCTCACCTTCATCATCAATTCCAAGACAGGCTAAAGAAACGCAGGATAATGGAAACATCAAAAAACAGGAATTAAGGAATTCTATTTATGGTATGGAATTACTATTTATGGCTCATGGGTTTAAGGTAATAGGGAAGGTGAATTCGTTTTACATGATCCTCAGATCATTTCACATTCTGAAGTTACATCCAGCTGAAAGCTGTTCAGTAGAGGAATACAGCTGTCTACACTTGGAAGTATAGTTGGGAAGTGCTGAAGAGGAAAGCTAAGACACACTGGTGATACTGAAGTCAAAACAGGTAGGAATTTAGGGTAAAGCTTAAAATGTAAACTTCCAGTCCTCTGACAGTCATTCTTGTAACCTCCTCTTGTTCTTTTATCAGTCCTACTGTCTACTTCTATCTCTTCCCCAGAAACACGTATCTTTTCTCAGACCCAAGCTTAGATGCTATTTATCCTGCTTGGCATGTAGCACTACTTCTTCTAGATGATGACCGTTCCCGCTTTTAAAGCTCAGCTCTGGCATGTATCTTTATTAGCCTGACATCTATCAGCTCCAGTCTTTCTATCCATCTTCCCTGTAATTTACACATTTATATGTATCACTATTGGTCATATAGCTGTCTTTGCATTGCTGCTAAATGTGATAAAAACCACATACATATATATTTAGCTTTATTACAGTTTGCTATGTGTCCAACTATGCTATGTACTAATTCCATCACCTTTGTTAATCTGTTACAATTGTCATAGCTATATCCATTTCACAAAAGAAGAAAACAGGAATTAGAGATGTTAATCTGCCAAGCTGGAACATGAACATCCCCTACACTCACCACACGATACTCCCTCTTTCCAGAGACTTGCTTAAATCTGCTCTCAACTCTTTAATTCCGCTTAATTCTAATTTGACTGACATGAAGTGAATGTCTACTCTGTGGCTGGTACAACTAGACACTCCTTGATCTGTCATCTTCTTTCTTCTTCCAATTATGTTGTGAGGTAGGTATTATCATTCCCATTTTGCAGATAAAGAAATCAAAGCTACCTAAGTAACCCCTATTTTTGTTTTCTCAGACTAAAAATGTACACGTGGATTTAGGCAAACAGAAACTAAATGTTCAAGGTTTAAAAAAAAATCCCCTATGATAGCAAATTAATCCATCTCGAAAAGTTTCTGGTCTAGAAAGCACAGTATGTTAGATTAGCTCTCAGGGCAAGATAATACTTTCGGTAACATTTAATGTGTGTGCTTTTGTTCTAGTATTGAAGGGGTGAAAGTCATGAATAAACTGCACTATCCTTCAGAGTGTAGGTAAAGTAATTAGCTTAATAAAGGATCCCTAAATCCGAGACTTCTATACAGACTTCTGAAGAAATCCAGCAAGCATGTGAATTTTTTTAAAAAAAATTATGGTAATTTCATTAAGTCGAAAGTTGCTACTTAACAATAATTTTAAAACTAAAATATTAGGCCTCTACTAATGTTTCCAGAATGAAATTTATTTGGTGATGGAACAAAAAAATCCAGAGAACTCTTTTTTTGCCTCAGTGAAAATCAGTATTGAAAGAGTAGAGAAAAAATGGCAGCCTCCCAGGACTGCCAGTGGGAAAGTACACAAAGAAGTCAGTGGCTGGGGAAAAGGGCAATGGGAGGCCTTTCCTTTAAAAACAACAACACAGTGCACTTCACACAGAGTTCTCAATCACGAACAATGTGGCTTAACTCCTCATGTCTGTGATTTTGGGAGACAGTCCAGCACGGAGCCTCCTCTGACACACACCCAATGATGGGTCAATGGGCCGCCTCTCCTCTCCACTTCACAGGTACTCGAGAGCCAGGTAATCAGCAGTAAAGGTAAGAACATTAAGAAACAGTAGTCATTTATAGTATGGATTAAGGCAATGCTGGTGTAAACCTTTTCTTCCCCCAAAGCTGATTTATCAGTAAGTTGCCATGAGTTTGCTGCACAAAACTGGAGCCATTATCATGGTTTGCTCTGCAATCAAAACAAAATTACTGAAAGCCTTTTACCAGGAAAGGTTGCTGGGAGGGAGAAGAACGGTCCAGTATCATAATAAATAACAGGGTGAAATGTTAGGTGCTTTGAGTATTCAAGAAATGAAGGAGAAATAATCTAAGTAAAGTAAGCAGGGAAAAACATTAATCTGGTTACCAATTATAGGAAATATTTACAATGATGGATCATATCTGCACAGTGGTTTGTTTGCTCACTATATTCTCCATTCATTGGCCAGCATGGTAATGAATACCTCGATTCAACGGTATTCTGAATATCTCTCTTGCCAGAGACCAGAGCTCTGTCCCCTAATGTGGAGGTGACTTCCTCATAAGAGGACACAAGGTAGAATGTCAAGTATTCAAAACTCTGGAACTAGATTGGCATTTGGGTGGATCTCAACCCTCCCACTTAATAACTGTGACTTAACTTCTCTGGGATCTCTTCACCATACCTATTAAACGAGATGGATAAGAACTCCTATTTCACCGGATTCTTGAGAGAATAAAGTTAACTGAATATTAAGTCAGAAACCCATTAAATGCTGTGTAAGTGTTTGGTAAATAAAAAAGCTCCAACTTTGGCGCTGTTCTAGACACTGAAGGCTTTAGAATTTTTCTAAAAGCGTTTGCATATTTTCTGTCTCATGACCTGAAAAACTCCAAGGTAGTCAGAGCAAATAATATTGTTTTCTACCTTTAGTGTATAAGGAAATTGAGTCCCAGAAAGGTAGTGAGTAACATGACCCAAAGTCACAGTGGAGAGGCCGAGATGGCAACTTGGTTTTCTCAAGTGTTTCATGTGTGGGCTCCCCACTGCCAGGGTGGGGTTCTCTACAGCCCTGGTCTTCTGGAGGCCGTTCCTTGTCAAATCCCATTCCTGTTTTGTGCGCCGCTAAAACCCCAGTACTATTTATCAGAGAAGAATCTTCACTTTTCAGTCGAGGAACATCCTTTCGCTTTACAGGCTTTTGGCCAAAATGAGCAAAGTTCTCTTCTCAGGATGACGTGGCCAGCCTTTCTATGCCAGTACTGCGAAACACATGAAAAATCTGGACACACATCCCTAGGGCCATGACTCTGCAATTTTGTACCTTCTGAAACTAACAAGTACTACATATGAGATAAAGAAAAAACATAATTTGGTGGCCATGGCAATCTGGAACTCCAGATTAATTCTAGCATGTCCTGAAGGCATTGCGGTGGCTGCAGACTCAGCCCCCTATGTGGTCTCATGCAAAGTGGGTTTCAGAACCCAGGGACTAGGGTGAGATGCTGGTGCCTCTTGGGGGAGTCGTGGGGAAAGGCCTTCCTCAGGAAACTGCTGTGATCTCCTTTTCCAGTCTCGGGGATTAATAAACACCACTCTAACACAAAGCCTTAGAAAAATTTTACTTGTGACTGGGGGCGGTGGTTCACGTCTGTAATCCCAGCACTTTGGGAGGCCGAGGCGGGCGAATCACAAGGTCAAGAGATCGAGACCATCCTGGCCAACACGGTGAAACCCATCTCTCCTAAAGTACAAAAATTAGCTGGGCATGGTGGCGCCCACCTGTGGTCCCAGCTACTCGGAAGGCTGAGGCAGGAGAATTGCTTGAACCCAGGAGGCGGAGGTTGCAGTGAGACGAGATCGCGCCACTGCACTCTACCCTGGCGCCTGGTGACACAGCAAGACTCCATCTCAAAAAAAAAAAAAAAAAAAGAAAAAAAAAAAGAAAAGAAAGAAAAAGAAAAAGAAAAAAAGAAAAGAAAAGAAAAAATTTTTACTTGTCTGCCACAGAGTAATATTCAAATTTGGACTGATATGCGTTTTTTGTAAATGACCAAAGATAATCAGTATACACAGTCCTCTTATTTTGGGAACAGCAGAGGACAACAAAGGCCAGTACTATCCTAATGCCAAGGAGAGATATGCAAAAGGTAGGTCTAGGCTGGGATTCACAGGAGGTTGGGACCTCAAGAAAACTGGGCTTTG